TACAATAACATAAAATAATATAAAATAATATAATATCTATCCATATATAGAAAATTTCATACAAATACTCCTAGAGGTATTGTATATTTTTGTACATATTATATTATATTAAATATTATATATTATATATTATATATTATATATTATATATTATATATTATATATTATATATTATATATTATATATAAAACATAAAAAATGTAATTTATTTTAAGAATTACGTACTTCGGCTAAAAAGATGAATGACATTTTTTCAAATTTCTAGTGAATTTTATTGAAACAATATAAAACACTTAAGGATTAAAGATTAACTTAAGTGTAATTGTTAATCTAGCTCTAGAATTTCTCTCGATAGTTTTAAATACAAATGCTCTGTACACACAGCCTTTTAAAATGGTTTGTGTATGTAATTATTATGATGTGGTGAATTCTGACTATGTGCCTTAAAACAAAACCTTTACGGTCTTCAAATTGCTTAAATTCTACAGCGAAAAGAGTCCTATATTAACAGAATACGATATAATTTTATACATAGAAGGACCTCATTGCAACTTTTCTTCCTTTTTTTTAAACTGAATTTTGTTAAATCAACTTAACATAAATGTTGCGAAACAAATAAACTTAATAAATTTATTTCTAATTCTGGGAACAAAATGTCAACAAACAATTTGCACACTACACAAAATTAAACACACATAATTTGTATTTTTTTTACGAAGCGGTAGTATCTGTGACAATCTACACTCTGGTATTTTTTAGTCTTAAGTTTAGGCTGCAATATGACACATACCGAGAAATGAAGCATGAATGACCATACAGATCACTGTACGTTTAAAGTGAAGAACTGTTTTTCAGCTTTGTTAAAAGGTACAGTCTTGTTGAAACATTTTATTTTTCTCGACAAAAAGTTTGAAAGCCCATACACCCAATGTGTTCTAACCTTTCAGAAAACTTTTTCGACATTCACATTTACATTGACGTCACGGTTCAAACACATCAACAAGTAGTGACTATCAATCGTCCGAATAGCCCAAATCAATACAAACGATGCCACTCAATAATCTTACTTGTCTCTAATAGTTTCTTGTTTCTAAACAAACCCATCCGTTCTCGCACGTTATCAACTTTAAATTAAATTTTGAGAATTTAAGAAAGTATGGTTTTATCAGTGATTTACTTTGTCTAAATCCTGGGAAGTCTTCCCAGTACTCCAACCGCATATGATTTTCCCTCTCCTTGATAATTTGTTTTAGACTGGCCCAGTTTAACCCACAAAAGATGATGATATATGTAAGTCTATTGACGAATATAACAACTCTTTCGCTTGTCGAACCCAATTTTTTTGGAACATTCATTGGCAGCCTGTAATTAGACCTCATTTCTTAATATTTGATGCATGGGTGTTCTCATTATGTTCAGACATTTGTGGTCCCCATTCAAAGCACTTCTACGGGAATTTTTTTTTTGACGTTACCGTTTTGCAACACTATCAGTTTTGTTATAATATATAACGGTTCGACATATGAAAGAGGTATATAATATATAAATATATATAGAGATGTATACATATTATATATATAACGGTAATATTTGGATTTCTGTCAAAATATAGCGCTTTGGGAGATTAAATTCTATTACGTACATATTTTTTTTCCAAAAAACAATAAAATGGAAAGCATAGTAAGCTGTCATTAGATGAAATATGGATGTAGTATTGCCTCATGAACAAATTTATAGCAATTTTAGTTAGAAGGCGCCCTCTATACAATACACTATATATAATAATAAATACATAATAAATACAAATATGTATACATCTAAATAAAATATGTATTCGGAAACTCACCGTTGCGGTTCAACGCGTTGTATTTCTGCTGCACCCTGAGGTGAAGCATTGACTGAGGCCGGTGGACTTGTGTTGTTGTGATACATTTGCCAAAGTGCAACACGTGACATTTCCAGAGCATTCAGTGCTTCACGTGTAGTGATTTCGGGACTTTGCGAACGTTGACGTTGTTGTTGTGGCTGTTGATGTGGTGTACCACTACTACTGCCACTGCCATTAATCCCGGCATTAGCGCCTAAAGCGCTTTGATCCTTTTTTCCCTGCATCATATTTATATATTCCATCATACGTTTTTCGATTTCATGTGTTACGATATTTGGCATTTGCCCAAATGTGGGCGCCATCAGTCTGTGATGTGCGGCCGCAGCAGCAGCAGCAGCTTGAGCTTGTTGATTAGCAGCAGCCGATGCTGCATGTGTAACCAATGCCAGAGGTGACATTTGTTGCATGCCACCAGATAAAGGACGTGCCATTTGTGGCTGTTTTAGAGAGAAAGAAAAAGAAAAAGAATTTATAAAGTTGAGATTTTATTATTTTTTTAATATTATATATATTATATATATGTAAGAACTCACCATTTGCATTTGATTGTGCATTGCCTCATATTGTCCATAACTGGAACGACGTCCTTCACGACGATTGCCATCGATTGCGGCTTGCAATTCCGCAGGTGAACTGAGATTTTTCTTTTCACATTCGTATGGATAAAGATACTTCATGTATCTGCAAAAAAAAATAAAAACAAATATAAACAATGAATAATTTGCTTTGTTTGTATTTAGTTTTTTTTTTTTGGATTTTTATTTTATTTTTTATTTTATTTTTGTTTAAGTTTAATTTGCATATCGAAGTTGGAAAAACGGAATATCGAAGAAAAACTACTTCGCCGCTAATAAAACAAGCAAAGTCAATTTGATAATCAGCATTAATAACCAATAACAACAACAAATACAACAACTACAACTACAACAACATTTTGATTGTGTTAATTAAATTAAAAAATGCTAATGGATGCGTTCACACAAATACAAAATAACCAACAACAACAAAACATTAAAAGTGCTTGATGCCACAGACACCGAGTGCAGCATCCCAGAGCACAACTCATTTACAGTGTTGCACTCGAAGGAAAGAAGACTTGAGGAGGAGTAAGTGACATGAGGCTCGCTGTCCATCAAGTGATGGCAACGCAAATAAACGCGAGGAAAGAAAAATCTACAGGTTGTACGTGTACATGTACGTGTATGTGTGTGTTCAGGTGATGCTATTTTTCATGTTACTTTACATACCAAACAAACACACAAACACCCATTGATTTCTTAAAAACTGTACATTAATTTAATGAGTATGTATGTATGTATGTATGTATATATGTAAGTATACGAATGTGTGTGGGTATTTATTTTGACTTTGTTGTTTTAAGCAGAAATTTATAAATCAAACATTGAACAGTTTCATTAAATACACAAATTAAACGTTCATAGTTTTATGAATCGATTAACACCAGTCTACATGGTTTTTTCTTTCCATTAAGTAAATATCTTCCTGCATTGTTTTATTATTTATTGAAACATTATATATCGTATAAACACTCTTAACGGACACTCCTATTAAGCGAACACCCTCTTACACACGAAATTTTTACTCAATTTGGATATTATTTTTAACACTATTTAGACCAATTTGTCCCCTTTTGGCCAAACACTTCGCTATTTGGTCTAATATAAAACTTTTTGACCAAATAACTCTCTTAAACGAACACTATTTGAACCAATTTCACTCTTTCGGGCCAAAAAGCTTTCTTCAACAAACACTGTTTCGATCAATTTAACCTTTTTTCCACAAACAGCTCTCTTGAACAAAACTATTTGCATCAATTTAATACTTTTGACCAAATAGCTCTCTTAAACGAACACTATTTGAATCAATTTAACTCTTGAATAAACATTATTTCGACAAATTAAACTCTTTTTCTACAAACGATTGTCTTGAACAAACACTATTTGGACCCTTTTTGACCAGACAGCTCACTTTAACGAACTTTACCCTAATTAAGCACTTTTTGAACTCTCGAGAGACAAAACTTACAATCTATATATCACTCATTCTATATGTGCTTCGTATGGCACAGAAGCATGAATTTTATCGCAGAATAATGAAGAAAATACTCGAAACATGTACATGGACAGCTAAAAACTTAATTAATTAAAATAATATAAAATGATTTTTTGTTGTTGTAGTGCACTACTATTCAAAAAAAACCTCTTTATGAGAAATATACTAGTTTCTATTAAATATAATAATCACTTTCGTCTAAAAAATTTGACGTTAAATTACAACTTATATTCACAAAATATTGGGTTCGTCCGTGCGAATCGTGGAGTAACGTAAGCATGAGTTTCTCAATATTACGTTCTTAGATTAGGTTCTTTATATAAGAAAGAATATATAAATCATGCAACAAATAATGCCTCTACAAACAGAATAGTATTGAAATTTAACAATTAAAAATAAAAAAATATGATTAATTAATTTTATGATTATACAGCTGGTTTATGATTATGATTTCGTCTAATATAAACACAGCAAGTGAATTTGTTAATAAAACTATCACAGCAAATGATCAAAACTCCAGAAAAATATGCGAACAAAAAAGTCAAGTACGGCTTTGTATCAGTTGGTTAAGGAGCGCTGACTCTGAGCTTGAAATTTGGTAGGGCACAAGTTCGATTCCTGGTACTTGCAGTCTCAAAAAAATTATTATGAATTATAAAACAACATTAAGACAATTTGAAATAACAAATACATATATATAAAAGCAACAACTTAAGTTAATTAAGCAGTTAGCTGGTGCCGTGAGAAGACTGTACTTAAAAAGTTGACATTAGAATATGACTTTTCTGCTTGAAAACAAAAGCATGTTATTAAGCTTTCTTAAAATAACAATTAAATTCGAAACCTCCAGATAAAAACTGCAATTATTTTACTGAATTGCCACTCTTTTTAACTTCACTTAATTATTGTTTATTATTAATTGAAAGAATAAATTATTAAAATATTTGTCTTTCAGCAAGAGCACACGTAAAAATATTGATTTAATAATAAAACTTTTTCTATAAAAATAGTTAATAAAAATATTAATAAAGTAGACGTTATTTGTTTTTAATTACATATATCCGTACGCGTATTAAATTGAATTTTATTTAAAAACAATAAAAACAATGACTTTTGTTCACCAGTGTAATTAAAGCTGAAATCATATTGGCCATAATTACCGTGATTATTATGATTATCATCATTAGCATCATCATTCCATTTACAGTGATGCATTAAGGGAATACGTTATTTACTATTGATATAAAATTCTTGAAGGCGATACTGAGATACGTTAAACGTTTTCCGTTTCTTCTCTTCCCGACCATAACGTAAGACGATTGTCTGTCAATTGTTTGTACGTTGAACTTGATGTCCGTCTGTCTATCTGTTTGTCTATCTCTCTGTCTGTCTGTCTGTCTGTCTATCTGTTGATCTGTCTCTCTACCAGGTCTGTCTGTTTAGCATATTCGAGGTGCAATGCATGTTTGCATGTTTGCATTTTGTGAGTTTAAAATGATTTCTTCTGATTTCCCGTTTAATATTTACATGAAATATTGTAAATGTTAACCGCTTACAAATTCATGCAACGCTAAAATTCATAAGGCCAGGCCGTTCAGCTTATTTTATAAGAGCCAACTTCAGAAAGGATGCTAACACAAACGAGACGAGACGAGACGAGACGAGACGAGGCGAATGGAGATGATATTGCCTTGCGAGTGAAGGTGCAGTTTATATGTGCATCTGAGTTTATTTGATTTACATACACTTCAGGCTGAAATGTTAATTGATTTCTGTAGTGTTTATTAATTAAACGGCAAATATATAAATTTTTCCTTATAAATTTCTTTTTTTTTTTTTATTTTTTGCATTAAATATAGTAATATCCTTTAAAATCTTGGACCACATATGAAGGGAGAGATAAAATTATAATTTCAAATACGTAACATGCATATGTAAAGAGCACTGATTAATTATCGAGCAAATTTTGACGGGGGCAAACCCTCCGATGAAGGTGGGACTTGAGACACCAAAATATATTAAATTAAAAAATAATATTAAAATTATTTTTTACATTTTAATGCGATTAATTCATCTATAATATTTCATATTTCATCTTCAAAATAATCGCATTCAATCGAAAGAATTGATAAACCAACGATTTGTTCATACACTCAGAAAAATATGGTCTAACTACACACAGGTTAATTTGGCCTGCTAATTTGGTTAGAAAAATGTTACCTCATGGTGTAAAAGAGACACGAAAACCAATATATTTTGATCTGAGATTAAGTTGAAATCTGGTTAAATCATTAAATGATTATTTTTCTGAGTGTACATTCAATCACAATATATTTGAACATAGAATATTTCTAATAAAGAAAGATTAGAAATATTATTAAATATTATTATTTTTATCTCATAATTTAATATAAATTTTAAACTGAATCAAAATATAAAAATTTAGAGTCTTATAAAAAATCTTGCAACAGAGCTTATCGAATTACTGCACTGACAGGAAGATAAAGCCTTGAAATATCTACATTAAAAATGTTTATATAAATGTTATATACAATAAAGTTATGTAGACTGCTGTTAGCTGGGAAAGATTCATTTTTTTCGTGCTGTTAACTGGCACATTTTACTCTTTTGTATTTAATATTATTGTTAGCTAACATTTTGACATTTACTTGTTAAAAAAAAACAAATTTATATTCCTCCTCTGTGGCACGCCGCGCTATCATATTTTCATGGCAACAACGGTGGAATGACCCTGATCCCAAATCTCGATGTGTGGGTACACAGAATGCATGGTCAGGTGGATTTCTATCTCACTCAGAGCCTAACCGGACATGGAGTCTTTAAACAGTAAATTCCCGTTTCAAGCACGAAGAGGATTCGTTTAATCGCAGTTGTGAAGGATGCGAACCATGTTCTTTTCTTCTCTTTACATTTCAACAAAGCCAGACTAGAGATCAGTGAGGATCTCTACGGGCTATTGGAAAGCCCGTATACATGGAAAATTTAATCTTGCCTAGGACGTCTACTGACGTAATGCTCTACGGTAGTTCCTGGAGGGACTTTCCGTCCGGGCATGAGGACATGTTTTTAGTGGATTAAAGTACTGTGCTGTCTTAGACTTCAGATGCTTTTAAGTCCTCGTTAATAAAAAAAATATTTATTCTGTGAAATTGATAAATGCAACATCCGGGCTTATCTATCAAGATTGACTATTTATCCAGATTGACTATTTCTCCAGGTTGACTATTTACCCAGATTGACTATTTTTCCAGATTGACTATTTATCCAGATTGACTATTTATCAAATATTGCTATATTGAGCAATAACTCCTTCCATAAAAAGTATGAAGGGGCAAATAAACAAATTAAGAATAAATGATTTAATATATATTGAAAAATGAAGCTATTATAATTATAAATTTAATATAAAACTGCTGACTCATACCTTAAAGATTTCTTAATTGCGAACAAAATAATAACCAGAATATTACTATTTTATTAGTAATAAGTAAATTTAAATCAATAACAATAATAATTTTGCAATAACAAAATAATTAAAAAAAATTGTACATTTAATCTTATGAAATATTTTTTAATTGAATTTTCAA